AAAAGACACAGAGTGGCAGCCTGGATTAAGAAACAAAACCCAACCTTTTGCTGTCTCCAGGAAACACATTTAGCTACAAAAGATAAAAATAGGCTCAAAGTTAAAGGATGGAAAACAATCCTACAAGCAAATGGACCAAAAAAGAAAGCAGGAACAGCTATACTTATATCAGATAAAACAGATTTCAAACTCAAAAAGATAAAAAGAGACCCCAATGGTCACTACATTATGATCAAGGGGACAATACTTCAAGAAGAAATAACACTCATTAACATATACTCACCAAACGAAGGAGCACCAAAATATATCAGACAACTATTGTCCTCTCTGAAAACAGACATCAGAGAAAACACATACGTAGTGGGAGACTTCAACACACCACTATCAACAATGGATAGATCAAAAAGACAAAAAATAAGTAAAGAAACCAAAGCTCTAAATAAGGACCTAGAGCAATTGGGCTTAACAGACATCTATAGAACACTAAACCCCAAAAAAACGGAGTACACATTTTTCTCAAGCGCACACGGATCATTCTCCAGGATCGATCACATACTGGGGCACAAGACAAACATCAACAGATACACCAAGATTGAAATCATATCAACCATCTTTTCTGACCATGAAGGCATCAAACTAGAAATAAACCATAAAAAGAAGGCAAGGAACTTTCCTACCTCATGGAGATTAAAAACCACACTACTGGAAGACCATTGGACTAATGAGGAGATCAAAGAAGAAATTAAAAAATTTTTTGAATTGAACGACAAGGAGGACACTAATATCCTAAATGTATGGGATGCAGCAAAAGCAGTAATAAGAGGAAAATATATAGCAATAGAAGCTCACATCAAGAAACAAGAAAGAACGCAAAGAAACAACCTCATCTCGAAGCTCAAAGATCTAGAAAAAGAACAACAAAAAAACCCCAAAACCAGTAGAAGAAAAGAAATAATAAAAACCAAAGCAGAAATAAATGAAATTGAAACTAAAAAAACAATCCAAAAGATCAATGAAACCAAGAGCTGGTTTTTTGAAAAAATCAATAAAATAGACAAACCCCTAGCCAGGCTCACAAAGGAAAAAAGGGAGAAAGCACAAATAAATAGGATCATCAATGAAAGAGGAGAAATCACAACGGACACAGCAGAAATCAAAAGAATAATCAGTAACTACTATGAACAGTTATATGGAAACAAGTTTAACAATCTAGAGTAGATGGACAAATTCCTACAACTCTACAATCACCCAAAGCTAGATAAAGAAGAAATAGAACACCTAAACAGACCAATTACAATTAGCGAAATTGAAATGGTAATAAAAAACCTCCCCAAAAACAAAAGCCCAGGACCTGATGGATTTACAAATGAATTCTACCAAACATTCAGAGACGAATTAGTGGCTATCCTTCACAAACTCTTCCAAAAAATTGAGAAGGAAGGGACAATACCAAACACGTTTTATGAAGCCAACATTACACTAATACCAAAACCGAACAAGGACAACACAAAAAAGGAAAACTACAGGCCAATCTCCCTAATGAACACTGATGCAAAAATCCTCAATAAAATTTTAGCTATCAGAATCCAACAATGTATCCATAAGATAATTCACCACGACCAAGTTGGATTCATTCCAGGGGCACAAGGATGGTTTAACATCCGAAAATCAATCAACGTTATCCAACACATCAACAAAAAGAAATATAAAAACCATATGATAATATCAATAGATGCTGAGAAAGCTTTCGACAAAGTGCAACACCCATTCATGATAAAAGCCCTTGAAATTCTGGGGATACAAGGAACATACCTCAACATCATAAAGGCCATCTATGACAAGCCAACAGCCAGTATCATTCTCAATGGTGAGAAGCTGAAAGCATTTCCATTAAGATCTGGAACAAGACAAGGATGTCCACTCTCACCATTGCTTTTCAATATAATACTGGAAGTCCTAGCCAGGGCAATAAGACAAGAGAAAGACATCCAAGGAATCCAAATAGGAAAAGAAGAAGTCAAACTATCACTATTTGCAGACGATATGATATTATACATAGAGAACCCCAAAAACTCCACAGAAAAGCTAATTCAACTCATCAATCAGTTCAGTAAAGTGGCAGGATACAAAATCAACACGCAAAAGTCAGTAGCCTTCCTATACACAAACAATAAATCTGAAGAAGAAGAAATCAAAAAGACCATCCCTTTTGTTATTGAAACAAAAAAAATCAAATATTTGGGAATAAATCTAACAAAAGAGGTAAAGGACCTATACAAAGAAAACTATAAAACACTGTTAAAAGAAATAGAAGAAGACACAAAGAAATGGAGAGACATCCCCTGCTCATGGATTGGAAGAATAAACATTATTAAAATGGCCATCCTACCAAAAGCAATATACAGATTCAATGCTATTCCAATCAAAATTTCAATGTCATTCTTCAAAGAAATAGAACAATTATTGATGAAATTCATATGGAATCACCAAAAACCCCGAATAGCCAAAGCTCTCCTGAAAAAAAGAAGGGAATGGAGGCATCAGACTCCCAGACTTCAAACTATACTACAAAGCCATAATCATCAAAACTGCATGGTATTGGAACAAGAACAGACATACAGACCAATGGAATCGAATAGAAAATCCAGAAATAAACCCACAGATTTATGGTCAACTAATCTTTGACAAAGGAGCAAAGAATATGCATTGGAGCAAAGAAAGTTTGTTCAATAAATGGTGTTGGGAAAACTGGGTCGCTACATGCAAAAGAATGAAGCTTGACCACCACCTCACACCATACACAAAAATCAACTCAAAATGGATTAAAGAACTAGACATAAGACCTGAAACCATAAAATATATAGAAGGAAATATAGGCGAAACACTACGTGATTTGCACATCAAAGACATCTTTACAGACACATCACCCAAAGCAGTGATAGTGAAGGCAAAGATAAACAGCTGGGACTACATCAAATTAAAGAGCTTTTGCACAGCAAAAGAGACAATAACAAAAACAAAGAGAAACCCCACCAACTGGGAGAACATTTTTGCACCCAACACTAATGATAAAGGACTGATCACAAAAATCTGCAAAGAGCTGATGAGACTCAACAACAACAAAGAAAATAATCCAGTCAAAAAATGGGCAGAAGAGCTTAAAAGAAACTTCTCTGAAGAGGAAATGCAAATGGCCAACAGGCATATGAAAAAATGTTCAACATCACTTGTCATCAGGGAAATGCAAATCAAAACTACCATGAGATACCATCTTACACCAGTGAGAATGGCACATATTAAAAAAACTAGCAACAACAAATGTTGGCGAGGGTGTGGAGAAAAAGGAACTCTTCTGCACTGTTGGTGGGAGTGCAAACTGGTCCAACCACTGTGGAAAGCTGTATGGAGATTTCTGGACCTACTAAACATAGAGCTTCCATATGATCCAGCAACTCCACTCCTAGGTATTTACCCAAAGGACACAGAAACATCAATTCCAAAGAACACCTGCACCCCTATGTTTATAGCAGCACTGTTTACAATAGCTAAGCTTTGGAAACAACCCAAATGCCCAAAAATAGATGACTGGATCAAGAAGATGTGGTACATATACACCATGGAATATTACTCAGCATTCAAAAAAGATAAACACATGCAATTTGCAGCAACATGGATGGCGCTGGAAGGGATCATGCTCAGCGAAATAAGCCAGAAAGAAAAAGATAAATACCGGATGGTCTCACTCATAGCAGGAATCTAGAAAACTTAAATAAGGGACCAGGAAAATGAATAACTATAAGAAAGTGAAAATCAAAATCAACAAAAAACTATGAACCAGAGACACTTTTAGGGGGGCGGGGGTGGGAGGGGAGGGATTGGGGTCAGAATGGGGGGCTGCAATTGTATGGGGAATATAACAATAAAATTTATTAAAAAAAAAAAAAAAAAGAAGATGTGGTCCATATACACCATGGAATATTACTCAGCATTCAAAAAAGATAAACATATGCCATTTGCAGCAACATGGATGGCGCTGGAAGGGATCATGCTCAGCGAAATAAGCCAGAAAGAAAAAGAAAAATACCAGATGGTCTCACTCATAGCAGGAATCTAGAAAACTTAAATAAGGGACCAGGAAAATGAATAACTATAAGAAAGTGAAAATCAAAATCAACAAAAAACTATGAACCAGAGACAGTTTTTGGGGGGCGGGAGGGGAGGGATTGGGGTCAGAATGGGGGGGTTGCAATTGTATGGGGAATATAAAAATAAAATTTATTATTTAAAAAAAAATAAAAAAAAAAAAAAATGAAAAACAAGGCCAAAAATCAGATATTTTTTCTTAAGGACAGAAGGTGGAATGAGAAAACCTTATACTTTCTCAATTACATGTCCAAATTTTCCCTCCTTCTTAGCTGAGTCTTGTTCATAAATTAAAGTTTGGGTCATATAAATAAGATTGAATCTCAAGGAGACAGTTAATAAAAGTAGCCTAAGAAGTAAGTACCACAGAAATACAAAGTACAATCAGTTTTTTTAAAAGCTCAACCCTTAAGACCCTCTAACATCCAATGCGTCAAAGGTAAAAATGAGGTACATCTCTTATCATGTATAAGTTCAAACTACAGGTTTCATTAACAAAATTTTCACCAACAACTTGAAAAGCTAAGATTTTCCTTCATCATTTCCATGAAGAATCATCATAGCCACCACCCTTTTAAGCTACCAAATAATAAACAGAATTTCCTTACCCACAGTTATATGCCACTAAAAATAAGACTTGGCTTCCCAATGCCAATCTACATCATTCCTATGTAGAAGAGCTCACAGCAATCTCATAATAATTTAGAATGTCAATAAAGTTCTGCCTTCGCTTTTAAGTCAGTAATCTTTTTTTTTTAAATAAAAACTAAAAGTTATTGAACGAAAAGTAAAGCACACATTTTATAAAAGTTCCCACCAGAGTTCTCAGGAAAGTTTAAGTTTTCTTAATTTAGTACCTAATTTTTTGGCAATTGCATAAGCTTCATCTGGTGACTGAGCTACATGTCCTTTGGGAACAGAGACTCCAGCTTCTTGCAACAATTCCATACTCATGTATTCATGTAGTGAGATTTTTCTTTGCTGTTGCTGCTGTACTTGAAATCCATGATTGTTAAATAATCCAGGACTTCCCAGAACCTAGAGAAATTGGGGAAATAATTATATATGACAGGGATATGGCAGTTATTCTTATTTAAAACACCTTCTCAAAACAGTTCCTATAGAGGAGTAGTTTTTTCACAACTACAAAAAAACTGTTACATTAAATCATGAAAATATAATATTCAAAGTATCTCACTGAAAACAAAACTAAAAGTTAATCTACACATTAAATATCAATGTAACCCTTGTAATTTTAACTATTTCCTCACCTCTCGTCCTTATCTTTCATAAGATCTTAATATATTTGATCTCTACTGCCATATCGTCAATGACCTACAGAATATTTCTACCTCACTGCCAAATTCAGTCACTGGGAAACCAATCACATCTTTTTCATCAAAGCAAAACTCATTCCCAACTTTCTTCTCTTCACCACTCCTCCAGCACCTAATAAATCCCCTGGCACTACATATGTGATAACTGAATGAGTTAGTGCCATTACTGATTCAGACACTCAAGACTCAAAACTCTGGCTTCATATGTAGTGGACATTGTGGTATTCAGGACCAAGGCATCCATAGCCCCAGCTGATGGGTGTGCTGGCTGCTGACAGCTCTCAGCTGAGTTCTCTCATTGAAGCCTTCTTGCCCAATATCATACCTCATCATTTCAATCTAGATCCAATGACTGATCAAATGAGGCTAAGGAGAGATATAAAGACCTGGCACCTCATCCCCATTTGGGGTAATTCAGAAGGACCATCCCAGTTCCAGTTATCCCATAAATTGGAAGCTGCACCACAGATCTACTTCTCCCTCAACACAATCCATCTTCCTTCACTCTCCCACAGGTGTTGAATAACCACAGGTGATTTCCCACAGAAATCACTTTCCTCCATTAAACTCTCCATCTAAATAATCTATAAATATCATCTCAGAGAATCAATCTACCACATCATCTTTAATGTACTCTTCCTAAATGATTCTCATAACAGGTACCCCCTTTACAAACTCAGTTTACAACCAAACTGCAAAAGCTTCCAAGAAAGCATTGCCAACTACAAACTCTTCCCCTTTTCAATCTATGCAGAACCACTCTCACCTACAAAATCAGAATCTCTGGTCTGGGTCTCAGGAAATCTGCATTCTTATCATGTCATTCAGCTGATTCTCAAGCACCTTACAGTTTGAGAACCACACATAATAGCAATTCAATTCTGATTCATGTGACAAACTAAAACCCTATATACAATTTCACCCTGTTAGCTCAACTACCTGATTATAGTGTTATTTCAATATTAAAAGCCAGCAACCTCCCAAACTGATTAGCATAATCTACCTTCTGAAATGCCATTCCTGGGTATATCAAAGATTGCTTAGTCTACCAAAAGGCCTATGTAAGAATGTTTAGAGCATGCTTATTCATAGGAGACAAAAAATGGAAATGACTCAATTGCCCGTCAACAAGAAAATATATTGTGGTATGTTCATAATAGGATACTACAGAGCAATTGTTTAAAAAATACCGCTAACAAAACAATGGTTGAATCGCAAAAACACTAATTTTAAAGGAAAGAAGACACAAAAATATATACTTACATGACCTCTTTTTATATAGTTCAAAATTAGTCAATAATTTCTTGGCAGTACAAGTCAGAATTAGAGATTACCTTCCATTGGCGAATACTGATAAGGAGAGAGGACACAGGACTTCTGAGAGCTAAAAACATGCATCTTGATCTGAACTGTGGCTACACAAATATATACACACATAAAAATTAATCTAACAACCAACTTAACTCATACATTTTACTGTATAAGTTATATACCAAAATAATAATAAAAATATTGGGGGAGTGTGGGAGTATTTAGCATAAACCTGCAAAAACAGTCATACACTCGCACATTTTTTGAATGTCTACACTACCAGACATCATGCTAAGAATCCTCAAAGGAGGTCGTCAACCTGGTACCAGTCACAGAGCTCACATTCATGTAAATAAACAGATATAACAAATGTAAAAGCAATGGTAAAGTCACTAGGTGGCACCTAATCAGACAGCTAGACCACAAAAAATTACCAGAGACTCTAGCAAAAAAGAAAAGTAACAGTGTATAAAGTATACTTTGCGGACTACTGGGAAAATTTGAATGTGAACTCTATATTAGACATTAGTTATATATTAGATATTAGTGTCATAATAATGTTAAATTTTCTAAGTGTGATAACTACTGTGGTTATTTAAGAGAATGTACTTATTCTTAAGAGATATATACCAAAATACCTAGGAGCAAAGAGTCATAATACCTGCAACTTACTATCATCAAATGGCTCCACAAAAACAAATAAATGTAATTTTATACATAAATACTTACACATATAAACTTTTACACGCATATAAAAAAAAGGTTAGGCATGACACAAAACTCTAAGTATATGGTTTATATCAAATACCCATATTTACAAAAATTAGTATTCATGGAATGTCACTGACAGTTTTTATACCACTTTAAAGATTGCTTAATGGATACCTGAAGTACTTTGATAAGCCTTCCCTTGTAATCACTAGAAATTGTAACTTCAAATATTGTTAGCTTTAAATAATGTTGAGGGCCTCTCCCCGGTGGCGCAGCAGTTGAGCGCTGGGTTGCAAAGCTGCCCGCAGCCTCTGCAGCACCGGTTTGATCCCCGGCTGCTCCCCGGCCACTGGAGGAGGGTCCCACATGGTGCGCAGACCTCTCCTGCCACCCGCTGCTCCCCTCAGCAGTGTTCTTCAGTCCTTCTGCCTGCTCTGCTCCCCGCTCTGGCTCTGGTGAATTCTCTCACCTTCCAGCACTTCTGACTGTACCCAGTGCTTGTATAAATAAATAAATAAATCTTTTAAAAAAAATAGATAAATAAATAATGTTGAAAATACTCCCACATTTAAGTATTTATTTTTTCTTGATATTATCACTTGGAAGGTTTGTACTGCTGAAGGCCACCAATTCTTGGCCAAATCCCTGTATTACTAACCATCCAATCACACAGTTTAAATACTTATTCAAAAGTGGAAAATTTAGTTATTGGGTAAGTGATTCACAACCAAGAAAACATTTTAAATTATTTAATCTGCTTATAAGATGAAATACTTTTATCAAATATACACTGGAAAAAAGATACAAAGAAACTAGAAGAGGGGCAGAGAAACAACATGTTTAAGAAGTTGCTAAATTCACTGACCCTGAATAAGTTTCCTAGGATCCTGTACCTCTGTGTCTCATCTATAAAAGCAAGCGGTTAAACTAAAATCCTTCCAAACTCTAAAGTTATATCAATGTGAGGGTGGGAAGGGAAGACAAGGTAGTATCTGAGGCAGCTCCATATGGAGAGTGGGATTTTAAAGGAATTTCCAGAAAGATAAAGATTGGGGTTAGAATGGAAACCCGTTCACCAAAAGTTCATTTTTTAAATAATTTGACAGCCCCCTTTAATATTCAAAAGAAGGAAATAAAAAGCTAAAAAAAACACTTCTACTATGGATGCAAACATAAATTTCACTACCTCTAGGCTGAAGGTATGAATAATTTTAAAAAGAAAAAAGATCTAGGGCCTCCCTGGTGGCGAAGTGGTTAAGACATAACCTATGAAGCTATCCACAGCCACTGCAGCACAAGTTCGATCCCCAGCTGGGGAGTTACCCACATGGCACAGCAGACCTCTCCTGACTCACCCACTGCTCCTCTCAGCAGTGTATTTCAGTCATTCTACCTGTTCTGTTCCCTTGTCTCTGATGAGTTCTCTCACCCCCCACACCTCTGGCCTGTACCCCAGTTATTGTATGCATAAAATCAAATAAATCTTTAAAAAAAAGATCTAAATCATGTATGGCATATCTGAATAGTTATTTGAGAACATAACCTAACACTCTGAAATTGACTTATGAAGACAATCAATCTCTTCCCACCTTTCTCTTCTCTTAAGATACTTAAATGTGGGAGTATTTTCAACATAATTCAAAGCAAATGATAGCTAAAGTTACAATTTCTAGTGGTTACAAGGGGCAGAATATCGAAGTACTTCAGGTATGCATTAAACAACCTTTAAAGTGATATAAAAGCTATCAGTGACATCCTATGAGTACTAATCCTTTGTGAATATGGATATTTGAAAATAATCCATAAAAATATACTTATAGTTTAGTGTCATAGATTTACCCTAACCTTTTTTGGTGGGAAATGAATAAGCCAATTCCTATTTTCGGGGGTGAGGGGTGAAGGGTGAGGGGTGGGGGGTGGGGGGTGGGGGGTGGGGGGTGGGGGGTGGGGGGGCAGGAGGGCTTGTAAAGCAGGTTCAAGCACACATGATTTGGAGACAGTCTGAAATAAACATCAGTTTTGACCTTACCTTCTTCTTGACCTAACCCAAATTATTTGTTCTCTTAGTCAGTTTCTTCACCAGTGACGGGGATATTAATGACTCCCTTACAGTGTACCTACGCAAGCTAATCAAAGACTACATGTAAAGTGCTTAGCACAGTCCCTGGCACACAGTGAACACTCAAAACAAAAAAACACCGTGGCCATTATGTTAAAGTCTATCCAGAAATTAAATGATCCAATAGACCATTTTCTCACTTCCTCAAATGGTAAATATCAGCCTGTTACCACTATTAAACAGAATATTACACAACTACTCGGGGGAGGTGGGAAACTACCCTTGCCTCGTCCCAGAAAAGGCCAGTCAGCAAGCCCTGCTGGTTCTGTGAAATCCTTCCAACCTGTGACAGCTCCCAAGAGACACGAAAGTACATCTGAAGGGCATTCTCTCCCTCCCTTAAAAGAGCATTCGGGGACTTCGGAAGCTTCGGCCCACGCTCCAGAACGCCGGAATGGTAGCACAAACTTCTCTGGGGCCCTCACCGCCCACTCGGAGTCCACACAGGTTCCCTGCTTCCCCCTCGGAAACCGAATGAGCAGCCCGGCCAGGTGCGGGCGCTTCTGACAGGCAGAGAGCCGGCGCAGACAGGCCCAACAGGAACCCGCTCGCAAACCAGAGGGCCACTCGCGGGCAAATCGCCGGCGGGCCTCGCGGGGCACCAAGTCACCCAATGTCAGCAACTGAAAAGTGACCTGAGCCCGACATCGGATCCCCTCACACCTGCAACGGGAACCAGGCCCCCCACCTCGCCCTTTGTTCTGCCGCTCCTCGGAGCGAAAGCGGGCTGGGCCGCAGTACCTGAACGGCAGCCCGCAACGTCGTCCGGGGCCGCTGGCTCCTAAGGGTGGCAGCAGCCAACAACCGGCTGCAGAGCATGGAGGCCGCCATTTCTGCGTCCGACCCCGTCCCCTCGGCGCCGCGCGCAGGCGCAGAAGCTCGCAGCGACACCGCCGCTGGATCCCCGCTCCCAACCTGCCCCACCCGAGGGGCCGGGGCCTGCCTTAACTCTGCCCAACCCGGACTTTCGGCTACGGGCAACGGCAGGGCGTGTCCTGCTGACGCGAAGCTGGGCTTGGCTATGGCTGAACACACTTTGGCCTTTAGAACTTGGAACCGCAACTTTAGTCTTGGACCTGCCACTGGAATGCAACCTAAACACTGACTGTTTAATAATAATCACTGGTGATAGGAAGATGGCCACCGCCGGTCGCCTGTGCGATCCCAGCTGCTTGAGCCTCAGTTGTTTCATCTGTAAGATGGGGCTCATTCAAAAAATAAGTACTGAACATCTGCTTGTGCCAAAGCCTGCGATGAGTCCTTGGGATACTGCTGTGAATAAAACAGCGATTTAGTCTTCAAAAAGAAGGGGGTTTGCCCCTCATTAGAATCACCTGGAAAGCTTTTTTTTTTTTTTAACTATCTTCTCCTGACTCCTGAGATGCCTGAGATGAAGGAAGGACCTTGACACTTCTAGAGTTCTGTAGAAAGTTCTCTAGAAGCACACATTGTGCATTAAAACCCCTGAGGGGATGCGTGCCCCATCAAAGAACTGACCACTGGCCAAATGACTGGGTGCATATTCTGTGCTTCTAGTGTGCTGACACTGTTTCAGCGGGTCGAATCTCAACCTAGGAATGGTGGGCGTTGTTCCCTAGCCAGGGTCTGACAACCTGCTTCTGATGCACAGTCCCCTTGTTATAGGACAGGGAGAGGGTTCTCCTCTTCCTACTCAGCTCCACCCTCCCTTGGGTGGGGCAGGGAACCTCCCCCTTTCCTGGGGACCACCCTGTTACACCCTTACCCATGGAACAACACTATATAAAGAAAAACTGCCTCTAAAACAAGCAACCATAGAAAAAAAGGGTTTTTATCGCAACCCCCAAAATCTGTGCGTTCTTACAGGCAGGACTGTCTTAAGAACTTTTTCATTCCACCTCAAGATGGAGCCACCTCAAGGCTTCTATCACTGCTAGATATTTTGTGCAGTTGGAAACGGAAAGGCAGGAAATAGTTGTTGATAGTTCAGATGACTCTTAATCCATCATAGTGAATCAAATAAAATCTGGATTTTCTTTCCAAAGAGCAGAACTGGGATCTACTAGTTTGTAGTATCTCATCAGATATGAATAGGGCACACTCACTTTCAAGTCAGCTCTTTTTCCTTCACACTGAAAAAAAAAGAAAAAAAAAAAAAAAACTCATGCAACCAACCACCTGCCAAGGTCAGTTATGTCAAGGGCAGGTGGGTAAGCCCAGAATAAGTCAATGTCTTAAAATAAGATGTCAGACTGTAACCCTGTGGAAAGACTAACTGGTTTAACTTTGCTTCACCCATTTCAAGTCCAAATTATAGCTGATCCATTAAATGAAACCTCTTCACAGCTGCATCCTCTGAAATACTGATTTAAAAACAGGCAGAGCTGCAACAGAAATAAGGAATATGGGCAAATGTGAGAAAGTGCATATCCCATGGGACATTTTTTTTTTTTTTGAAGGGGAATTTTTATGCAACAGCCTACACTTAGCCCAGTTTGGTGAATTCTTCAGCCCTCACCTTTTTAGCTTGGCAATGTGAGCCAGATTTGGGATCCAGAATATTGCCTCCCTAGTGATGAAGGATTTCATAATAGGCCCTGACAGCTTCTACCAGCTTAGCCAGGGCTCCTTTGTTTTCTGAACTAACCTATGTGAAGGCAAGGTGGTGGTAGCAAGCAGATGGATGGGAGCCCAGAACTCCCAAATTTGCATACTCTAAAGGAGTCTGGACATTCATGTGCACAAAACAAAGAAACTCTTAGTGTAAAAGAACTTTTATAAGATTAGTGTGCATAGCAAGAGAAGAAAGGATGATAGTTTCCCAATAAAACACCCAAAGTTACCATCCCCTCATGGCTAAATGCCCAGCCAAACAATGTTGGCCAAAAGTGAAGCCACTCAGGCCCAAATGCCTGCCATAAGTCTAAGGTACCTTCTGGCAAAGAACCATAGGAAGGGGGTAAAAGGGACCTGGTAAGTCTGAGACCAAAGAAAATCAAAGTAGAAATCAAGATAAAGGCTGTACTGTCAGCCTCTCCTTGTCTCTCAACCACATAATTCTCTCCAGTGTCTCTACATGTGCTCCTCCATGTTTCTCCTCCAAGTCCCCCAAGACCCAGGTGCAAATCCAAAGCCAAGAAGCAAGCCAGCCCTTCTTCACATGCCTTCCCCCAAACCACCTGCCTGCCACGTTATAAGCTTCAACTGGCTGCCAAGTTCTGTCCTTTATTAGGTGGGGCAGAGAACTCCTTTTTATGGAGTTGTTTCTGTTACACTGGTACAAATCTTCCTAGCCTGGTCTCCCCTTGATAGTGCAATATCCTGCATTTGAGGGACCTGGGACATCAAGGCAGAGAGGGGAGACTTCATCTGACAGACAAGAAGGGGGTGACCTAATCCTTATTCTCAGAGTAAAGATGAGATTCTTAGAGTAATATGTTTACTAATAAATGAAGAACTGAATGAGATCCAAACTAGTTGGGTTGTCTGAAAAGTCATGATGTATTTTTTCTATGCTTTCTATGCAAAAATGCATCATGGGGTCTCCCCTGGTGGCACAGGCGGTTGAGCGCCGCACTTTGAAGCTGTCCGCAGCCTCTGCAGCACTGGTTCGATCCTGGCCAGCCGGCGAGGGTCCCACATTGCACGGCAGACCTATCCTGTTGCGCCTGCTGCTCCCCTCAGCAGTGTATTTTGTCAGTCTGCCTGTTCTGTTCCCCACTCTCTCTCTGGTAGATCCTCTCACCCTCCCGTGCATCTGGCCTGTACCCCAGTTCTTGTATAAATAAATAAATAAATAAATCTTAAAAAAAATTGCATCATGACTTTTCTGACAACTCAATGCATTCTTTTGGGTTGTAAAAGGGAGAACAGTGACCACTTCGACTAAAGGACATAAGGGAGGGGCTAAGGACTTAGGCAAGAGCAGAAGCTTCTAGCCCTCAGGGTCCTCATAGCTCGCATGCCAAAACTTAAATTTTCATTTAAAAAATATTTGCATTCTTTAAGTAATAGTAGTAAACCTGCTGAGGCTCAGGGAGCCTGACTGACCTCTAGCTCTCTCATACCAAAGTGACAAAAAGCCTACTCTGGGCCTATTGATAAAAGTCTACCTGACCCTTTGTGGGGAACTGACTCCACACAGTAAGAAGGAAATAAGAATGTTCTGAAAGGAAGAAAACTTTAATTTTTTCAAAGTGCTTTAAAATCACTGATGTTTTTATACCCTCCACATTTTTCCCAGAGCAAAGACTTAGCTGAACTGTCCTGTTGTTAACTATCGTATTCAGAGTGCTAAAGAAACACCCTTCAATATATCTGCTTACCCTCAACTTCTCCTGAGAGCTGAGATGGATAGTACCAGATTCTTACATACCTTTTTAAAATAAGCTTTATTTTGCCATGAAATATTTTCAGAATTCTCTAGTTTTTATCTTATTCCACTTTTACCCTTCCAGCCACTGAGAAAGAAAAAAATATTCGATATATATAGTCTCTTGAACTAAAGGTTAGTAGTGAAGGAAGATCAGTAACACAATCTGGGACAACTACATATTTATATAGGATTTCTTTGTTCTCAGAAATAGGAGAAAGACCCATCTACACCACCCTAGAGTGATAGTGGCAACAAAGAAAGAAACACATACATTTTCTTATTAATAATCACAACAAACCTGCTTTTACAGAAGGGAAAACAGACTATTAAGTGTGCAAACTGAGGGGGACACTTGAGATCTCCAAACCTATACACTCTAAATTGGTATGGCCATCTGCCTAGTACAAAAGAACTTTAATAAGATTAATGTGCACAGAGAGAGTAGAAGAAAGGATAATACTTTCCCAATGAACCAGCCAAAGTTCCCCAGGCCCTCATGGATAAATGCCTAGCCAAACAGGGTTGGCTCAAAACAGGGCCACCAAGACTTGAAAACTTGCCACAAGTCTAAAGCACCTTCTGGTGGCATCCATAGGAAAGAGGCAGAGGCACCAGGCAAGTGTGGAATGAAAGGAGTAAAATCAAGGTACAAATCAAGTTTAACAGCTGCCATTATCAGCTTCCTCACAGGTCTCTCATCCACGACTCTTCCAAGTGTCCCTACATGTCTCAACTCCATGTGTCTCCATCCATGTTCCCCAAGTCCCTGTTACAAATCCAAAGCTGAGAATCAAGTGGGACTTCTTCACATGTCTCTCTGCCATGTGCCTTCTCCAAGTCTTTTTCCAAGTGTCCTCCTAGTTTCCGCTTGCCACTAAACTCCACCCCTTATTGGGTGGAATAGGGATCTTGGATCTCCCCCCAGCCCTTTTATGGAGATTACACTGTAACAATTCCCCTCTGTAACAAGACTCAGAAACAATAGATAACTTGTCCAGTGTCACAGCTTTTACTTGGGTGCTTCAGGACAATACTGAACGTAATCTGGAAGACTGAATGAGAACTGGAGATAATAACTATGATTCATATCTTATCATTTTCTTTAACTCTTAACCTTTACTTAATAGTATTCATCACCTTAAGGATAATGAGAGCAGACAGTTGCAAATGCAAGTGATCAAAATTGTAAGGACTGAACTTTTAGTTTCAAAAGCCAAAGGCCAGAAGGACTCAGAAAAGTTTGTGCCTCACAAGTAGAATAGCATTTACTTCACTCCTAGAGAAGATGGAAAGAGTAAAAGGAAAGCATGATACTCTTGGTGGTTCATTGGGAAGGGTCCCTATATGATGTATTCACCAAGATCACTGTGTCTACAATGAAGGTCAATTTCACCCCCAAAGAGATTTGGGGATCTAGTACAAGGAGCATTAAAGGGAAACCCAAAATTCCACAAAAGGAGTAGAAACTTCTGTCAAGCTAATGTACCCCTGCAGGTAGAGTTGAATCATATTCCCAGGAG